CACCGGTTGCTCATTGCAGCTGTAAGGCGGCCAATATACGACGAAACCTGTTGTATAGCCGTCCGTATCTTTGTCATCGTGGCTTCATCGAGTTCACCGTAAGTTGGCTTGGCTGAGCGAGCTAATTAAGCTGCGTGAAATAAAGCTTAGTGAATCGAGTGAAGTCAGAGAGCTCAATGAAATTAGTGCGCAAGTGAAAAAGTTTCGTCGAGTGAATTATGTGAGATGAGTGTGTGCAGCAGCGACTGAGTGTGCATTCTCTGTATTCCGGGGTCGACAGCCCACCGATGAGCGTGTAATGAAATGACGTCAGTAGTATGGAACGGAATGCCAAACACGAACAGGGGTGTTTAGCCTTCGGACTCTTCTGACCTTCTTGTAGTCCTATGTTCATGCGGACCCACGGTCCAAGTGTTCCCCACTTCTGTGTTATGTGGAGGCTAGCATGGGCCTTTTCATGTGTAAACCTGATGTTTGGTCGGGTTCAGGAGTAGAGTATCATTTTGTGATTTTCCCCAACGACCACTTCCATGTTCTTTTAGGGGTCTTATGAACAGATTAGCTTCACTTTCACTCAGTGCACATGAAGCTCCTTCCCTTTCCGTCGCCGCCCAAGCTGCCACCAACGGTATTCAGTCGTTTTCATCTCAAAGAATCGCCCCTCAGTCTGATGAGGTCGTGCCTACTCCAATTATAACGGAGAGCTTCGATCCGGGGTCGATCCTAACTCAAAGTGCAGCGAGTGACCGAAAGATTTCATACCCACAACCAACAGAACGGAGACGAGATGCATAAGCGGTAAAATGAAAACCACAACCATCTCCAGTCTAGCTTTTACCCCCCCAAAAAGAGTGACTATATTCACGAAAATGGCATCCAGACAAAGTCACCCGCCCCGCAGCCCGCATTTTCCGTAGCCTTTTTGTGCTGGTGGAGCGCTAGCGCCACGGAGGATCACAATCAACACGTGAACAATGTCATATACAGTTCCATGTTCATGATATCATGATAGAATCGATACTATGAAAGAACAAGCAACTCTAGTCTATATAGCCCCTACCCCCCACTTTTTTTTTTAGAGCTAATGTGAGAAACAACAACAACAACAACAACTCGCCGCACGCACCCCTGTCACACTCGCCCCTATCCCCGAATTCTTCTCATTCGCCATCCCATGGGTTAGACTTCTCCCAGAGCACCTCCAATACTTCCATGACCCCCAGCGCAGCAGTACATACATGCAGGAACACCCCAGCACAAACCAGTACCATCTCCACACATAATGACAGACAACGTAGACTCCATACAATCAACATACAGACATACTCCGTATATACCTCGAAGTATCCTCCTGTCAAACCAAACATCCTGCTGTCTGAACGTTTATTTTGTTGAGCCATGATGAAAAAGACGTTGGCGCTCTCATCTTTGTAGTCTAGACTAGTCTATCTATGTAATCCTCCTGTCAAAACAAATATCCGGCCTGAACGTATATTTTGATGAACCATGATCAAAATAAGATCTCACAGTTTCGTGGGGAGCGTCTCCTTCTCCTCCTCCTGCGGTCGCTCCTCCTTCTCCCTGCTGCTGCTGCTGCTGCTGCTGCTGCTGCTGCTGCTGCTCCTCCTGCCCCTCCTGCCCCTCCTGCCGTTGTTCTTCGGCTGGGCTTGATCGCATGCACGCGTCGTCGCCCTCTACCTCTACGGCGACAACTGAATGCTCGTCGTCACGTATCATTCTTTTCAGGGACATGTCTGCAGTGTAGTCTGCTGCGTTGCGCGTGCTGTGCGGCCTGTCGGCGGTGGTCATGTGCTGTGTTGTTTCGCAGCTGTTTTGAGTTTGAAAATGGGTTTCTGGGTGTGTGGTTCTGGAGGTGTTCTTGGTGTGCACGTTCTTGTTTGCAAGTGCGGCGTGCAAATGGGGGTAGCCGAGAAGGGACCGACCGCGTGACGTGACATGTTGCGATTGAATTTCAACGACTAGTTTTTCTGTTGTTGCCCTCTCCCCCGTTTGCTGTCGCGTTCAGACTGTCTCTACGGATATCCCTGTCTCTGTGCGAGTTTGTTTATGTCCTCGTCTGTCTTTGGTTTATTTCGTTTTATTTTGTTTTGTTGTTTTACTGGCACGTTCTGCTGACCCTTGGGGTCCTTCCGGAAGGCTACCCCCCAGGCTGGTGGTGCGCACGTTCCACTATTTATTTGTTTTTTGTATCTGATTCTTTTTTTTTTTTTTTTTCCAAATACAACACAACGAGTCCATTTCCGTCAGAGAAAAGAGTCAAAGACAGATTGGCAATGGAATCATAGCGTCAAAGAAAACTACCTGTTGTGTGTCCACGATTTCCCAGACAGCATATATGGACATCTCCCCTGCGGATAACAGGCTCAACAAGACAGTTTGGTAGCTGTGTTGTGTGTCTTATATATGTTATGTTGGGAAGGTGTAGACGAAAAGTGTTGGGCTGTTAGTTAGTTGGGTGTTTTATGTGTGGCACCCTGTTGGTTGTGGATCTCCATCCATTTTACACGTGTATTTCCAGTTTGGTATGCATTTAACGCGAGGAATATGATTTGGTAAGTAATTGAGTTTGGTATGCATATGCATGCATCTGTGTCAAATTGTGCGGCACACGGGAGTGGTCTCCCAGTTTTGTGTAATTTCATGCCCATAAATGTGCGAAGGGCACGGGAGAACATTCTTTCATCATTGCCTCCTGACGTGGTCGGTCGTAGGTAAGGCGTGTGGTTGAGGTTCCATCACCGATATGTGGGTGTTCGTGTGTTCAAATGTAATGGGTTGGTCATCTCTCTCGTCCGTGTGTAGGCAGGGAGTATGGTTATATCTCTCCCCTCAGTGGGCAGCACAGACCATATGTAAAGAAGAGTTGATCATTTCGTGCATAATACATCATTTATGTTTGGCACGACAGGAGGAATGAGATTTAGTTGTTCTGACATTTTGACGGTGTACGTGGGTACGGAAAGTACTCCCTGTGTCCGTGATGTTCCCTGATGTTGTCGCATCGAGTGGCAGCATGTGCCAAGGACAGGTAGACGTGGAAGGACGGCGACAGGTGAAGGGCAGCAGTAGTAGTGTGTTGTGCATGGTGGCTTGTTGGCTTGTACAGAGACCAGTACATCTTCGACCGACCACACATAAAGAGTTTGTTCGTACCTGTGGGGATTTTTTGGAGTCCTGGGTCAGCCGAGAGCAGCAGCAAGGAGCAGATACGATGCAGTGTACTCTACAGCTTTACAGTCCGTCCTCCTCAAGTCCTAGCGGAGATGATTAGTATCGCACAACGGCTGGATCCGAAATGCCGGCTAGCTCCGAAAACCAAGAGAGGTGGGTGGCTGAGCTAAAACCGGAATGACTGCATGCATGCGTGCTCCTCTCAGCAGATGTTGCTGGCTGGCTCTTTGAAGTGCAGATTTCTGGTTCAGCAGAATTTGATTCCCAATTTTTCCGTTGTCACCTGGGTACAGGGGAATTTTTGAGAGGTGTACGGAAGTTGATGAATTGTCCTACTTTTGTTTTCTTGTATTTTATCGTTCTGCTAACCCTTGGGGTCCATTTAATTTTGGTATACCTTTTCTAGGTACGTTAGCCTGTGACCACGGAAATTGAGCGAGTCAAGTGCTGGATTAGTACGGAGAGATTGAGACAAAAGGAGGTACTGGATAGAGAGACCGGGATGGTTTTTAATGTGAAGACAACAACAACAACAACAACAACAAGACTCGGCCTAAGAAAAAAAAAAAACAAGATCCAGGGAAAACCCAGTCAGATAAGGGTTAAGAGAAGAGGAGTGGCCAAAATAGGGTACACCCGACCCCAATCCGGCCATTATCGGGTACACTTGTTTTACACAGTCGGCAGCGCCCTCCTAGCGCCATCTGATTGGCCGACGACCGCCCCTACCCGGCCCTGACCCTATTCCCACCGGGTGCACCCGATCTTGGCTACTCACCCCCCGGAGGGGTACCCGATCTTACTCTCGCCTACCCGAAAATGGCTGGGCTATTCGACCAACAGACCACCAGCAGACCACGCTCACGAACACACGTCACCAACACCCCGCACCCCGCACTCGAGTTCCGACGCTTCCGACGGCGGGCGGAGGCGGACCTAACACGGCTAACGCGGCGGAACTGTCGTTTGAAGTGGATCAGTGGACCTCTCTCCTGCAAGACTCCTCCTGCAACCCACCGCCGACGGCGGAACTCTCTCGGTTCTCGTTTCGTATCGGAGAGGAAGGAGAGAGAGGGCCAGGCGGGCGGCGGTGGATGAATACCTCTCAATACCTCACTCACGTGATCACTTGAGCTGCACACAAATAGTCTACATGACGCAGCTCAGACATGTCCACGAAGCATCAGGCACAGAAGCACCAGGGTGTCGCTTTCGTCTGGAATACATTTCTAGACACATCAAGACCGGAGATGTATGGCACGTTGTTGTGTACGCAGAGGGTCGTTCGTACACAGCAATGCAGCAGCAGCAAGCAGTGGATGCCGTGGTTATGTCTCGATCAAGACCGAAAATATATATGACACATTGTTGTTCAGGAAGAGGATCGTACATACATACAGACTGAGTAAATGCAGCAGCAGCAGGCAGTGGATGCCGTGGGACCTCAGATTAAAGATAATATTTCCTTAACTTCGACCTCTCTTGAGTACGTGGGAGAGACAAGGAACTGCGGGCTTGCCACAGGAGATCGGGCGGGTTCCGAGCTAAAGACGAATTGCCCCCTGCGGGCACGAATACTTCTTTTTCAAAAAATCGACTTCGCAGATCGTTCTGAAACGACCAAATACGATGATACGAAAAAGTCGGCGAAAAAATACAAGATGCCCTTCGGCTCGAACTTTTTTTTTCGCCGCATTCCCGAGCTTTTTTTTTCTCGCCGACCTCCGCAATCGCTTCCGCTCTGTGGATTTAGGGGGGGTAGAGCCACTCAGAAAGTTGGTCAGGCAAAAAGTGGTGCCCGCACGGGGTCTGGAAGTATGAGGCGTGGCGACGGCCCAGCGATTACCGGCCCGGGCGAATGTGAACGCGTTATGTATGCTGGTGGCCGGCAGTTCAAAGTTGTGCAGAGCTGGAGACTGAAGGAGGGACGCGGCGTTGAGATCACCACCAAGCTCTTCGACCCCAAGGCTGTCAAGCGCGCAGCTGCTAGAAACAGCGGCACCTCGGAGGCTTGTGAAGCAGATTTGTCCAAGGTGGCCCGCGAAAAAGCTGACGAGATCATGAAGGGCAAGCGAGAGGCAGCTCGGAGAGCGGGCGTACCACAAGCCCGCGGGCAAGGTGGTGGGGCAGACAGTCACATGTCTTGTCCCGTCATCAGGGCGGCGGCGAGGCAGCTTTCTCCAATTTTTCTAGTGGCCGGACTACATCAACTTCAAGAGGATCTGGAAATCGGAGAAGGGNCCACCAAGCTCTTCGACCCCAAGGCTGTCAAGCGCGCAGCTGCTAGAAACAGCGGCACCTCGGAGGCTTGTGAAGCAGATTTGTCCAAGGTGGCCCGCGAAAAAGCTGACGAGATCATGAAGGGCAAGCGAGAGGCAGCTCGGAGAGCGGGCGTACCACAAGCCCGCGGGCAAGGTGGTGGGGCAGACAGTCACATGTCTTGTCCCGTCATCAGGGCGGCGGCGAGGCAGCTTTCTCCAATTTTTCTAGTGGCCGGACTACATCAACTTCAAGAGGATCTGGAAATCGGAGAAGGGCGAGGACTTCAAGGATCCTGGCCGCACTCTGTTCCTCTCGACACGGTGTAAGTGCCTGACTACCCTGAAAACAGACCAGAGCGCGTGCAAGATCCACACGCAGCAAGACCTGTATCTGAAGGCGCTGCGCGAAGTGGACGTGCAGGGTCGTGCAGCATGCGACTGTCGGTGGTGCAGCGCCCCGGACGGACATGCTGCGTGGAAGGGGATGTGGGAACACCTGGGCACGTTTTCGGAAGCGCTGGCATGCCCAAGGGTGAACCTACGAGAGGGGGACCCGGAGGATGAGGTTGGCTTCATGGGACGGAAGCCGGCCTGCAGTGCTATGGAGTGCACGCTCTGTGGGTTTGGGAAGGAAGGGGGCATCCCGACCTGCAAGGCGCTGGAAACGTCGCAATAGGTTGTCAATTGGACCCGGTATGAAGACGTTGAGAGGCCCGGGAAGAAGCCCCTCCAAAACCAACAAGTCGAGAAGGAGGGCAAGCTCTGCGACCTGTGGGCGGACTTCAAGAAGCACAGTAAGCTGTACATCGCTCATCGAAGGCCAAGTGGCAGACAATCTCTCATGGGCTCTGCTTGAGCACGTTTCAAGACGGCGATATCGTGATCGAGACAGATTTTATCGAGAAATATTCGCACGTTCCTGGGGCCGTCCTCACCTGCGCGCGGCATCCCCAAACCACGCTCATGGTGGCTATTGTACACTTCAGTCCGCAGCTGTGGGAGGGCGGCGGAAGGGTTCACCAGACCGAGACATGGATTTTTGCTTCGGAGGACCCTGCACACGACTTCGACTTTCACCGCCACGCGCTAACTCAGATTGCCGACTACTACTTGGATGGGCCCGGAAGTGATGCAACTGCCGCCGCTCGGGAAGCCCAACGGATCCCCCGCATGCACATGTTCACGGACGGGTGCGCCAAGCAGTACAAGGGGAGGCGCAATTTCCGTTTTCTGGCTGACAGTGTGCTGCAGCTTGGCTTTATCGTCGAACACCATTTTGCGGCCACCTCTCACTTCAAAGGCTGCCACGACGGGATCGGCGGTGTGGCGAAGAACGCCATGAGGATGTCCGAGCAACGTGGCGATCTCATCGCAGGGGCGGCTGGTGTGGTGAAATTCTTTAAAGTGTACTTTGACCACATCGGGGCTGGGAACAAGGAGCTCGCGGACTATTTCGCCACGTGGTCGCCGTATCGCATCTGGCGTGTGCATGTGAAGCTCATCGGGCTGGGCGCTGTCTACAGGCCGGAGCAGCAGCTAAAAGGCATCACAGGTACTCGAGACGCCTACCTCTTTGTAGGGGCCAACGCGGGGCTTACGGACCGCGCGACCACGACTAGGCGGGGGAGAGACGAAAGCGTTCCGGACGTGATGGAGAAAGATTGGTCACTTGCGATGGGAACGGACGTGGGGGAGGTGGAGGGGACGGAGCTCACAGTAAAAAGGGCAAGGTCGTATGTGCCGTGGAGCCCGGCGTGGGAAAGGGGCGGGGCTACGGGAGAGGAGAGCCAGCATGAAGGTGGAGGAAGAGGAGGAAGTAGAGTCGGAGAGGGAGGAAACGGAGCGGGGGTGCGAGGTGGTTCGCGCCGAGAAGGTCATCCTCGCCCACGAGCTTTACGCCTCGGCCTTGTCTTGCTTTTGCTCAGCGTGCCGACGGCGCGAGTACAACATGTGCTTTACGAATAGCATGTATCCGGGGCAAGTCCCCGTGCTTAAAGCAGACGAAGTTGAGGAGACGGTCATTAGGGTCACTGGGGTAGATCCTGTGGTTGGAGTTGACCCCGTCCCTGGTAGAAAGAGAAAATCGAAAGCAATCGTGTTCGGCAAGGAGGATTTCTGTATGATAAAGAGGGTGCCTGGTACGCAGTTCGACGATTCTTTCTGCAACAGCACATAGAAGAAGGTTGTCGGGGTACTGAGGGCGTGCTGGGAGGGTTTTGGTTGTTTTTCGGGGGGGGGGTGTACGCGGTCCTGCCGCGTAGCAGTAAGTTTCGGTGGCGTTTCGTCTGGACATCCTGGGCAATAACACAACACGAGTGTGAGGCTTTATAACTTTTTATCTGGGGCGAGCTCGAAAATTTGGACGACGGATTTGTGATCCCCACCCCAAAATTACCCTGACTTGGATTTTTCAGGTCGATCTGAGCACTTTTCAAACCCGGGGACATTTAGCGGCCATCCCCGATTTTTGCGTTTTTGCGAATTCGCCGTGGGAATTCGATCAAACTCGTTGAAACCCGGGCACCACGGACTTTTTTTTTTTTCGCAGATCGTCATTATTAGGGTATACAACTAGTATACAATGATACTAATATTAAATTTTCAATACTTTTAGCGGGGATGGAAAGAAGTTGTCCCCCCCCCCAAAAAAAAATGTATTTAGCTCGGAACCCGCCATGTGTGAAATATAGAGAGAGTGGTGGTACACGCAGCATGAACGCTGTCCTAAGATTGCTGGTGGTGAAGTAGCACGCGCCTTGCGCGAGGACCGCGGGGTTCTCTACTTCATCGCTCATATTCTGCCGAGGCCAGCCGAATGTTCAGGCACGAGTGCTGAGATTAACCACGAGAGACTTGGTGGGTTGAGGAACGAGATCTACATGCAGGAGCGAGATCCATCTACTCCAAACGAGAGTTCCGCCGCGTTGCAGGAGAGAGGTCCACTGATCCACTTCAAACGAGAGTTCCGCCGCGTTAGCCGTGTTAGGTCCGCCTCCGCCCGCCGTCGGAAGCGTCGGAACTCGAGTGCGGGGTGTTGGTGACCTGCGTTCGTGAGCGTGGTCTGCTGGTGGTCTGTTGGTCGAATAGCCCAGCCATTTACGGGTAGGCGAGAGTAAGATCGGGTACCCCTCCGGGGGGTGAGTAGCCAAGATCGGGTGCACCCGGTGGGAATAGGGTCAGGGCCGGGTAGGGGCGGTCGTCGGCCAATCAGATGGCGCCAGGAGGGTGCTGCCGCTGTGTAAAACAAGTGTACCCGATAATGGCCGGATTGGGGTCGGGTGTACCCGATTTTGGCCACTCCTCTTAAGAGAAGTAAGTGGCCCGATAGGGACGCCACGAGCCCATCTCTATCATAGATAAGAGTCACAATTGAATCATAGCGTCAGAAAAAACTACCTGTATGTCTACGATTTCCCCAGACAGCGTATAGGGACATCTCCCCTGCGGATAACAGGCTCAACAAATCAGTTTGGTAGCCGTCTTGTGTGTCTCATATATGTTATGTTGGGAAGGTGCAGACGAAAGGTGTTGGGTACTGCTTCTCCCTTCTTCCCCTCGCTCCTCGACAAGCTTTTGCTTAGACATGGGTTGTAGTGAAGGGGGGGGTCTTTCTGGCGAGCAGGGCTAGATTCACCCTCAAGGGATGACCGAAACCTTTTTGCTGCTGCGCACATCCGCCGCGAGGCATGCGCGTGGTGGTGTAGTTGGGTCGGCACTGATGGGGTCAGGCGAAAAAATGTAGATGCGCGGGCCTCTGGCCGTCGGCGTAGGCAGCGATGCCCATCTCATTTTTTGTGCGCGGAGGCAGACACCGTCAGAAGGTGG